TACCTATCTATCTTTCGATCCATCTACTAGTATCTATCTATTTGTCTATCTATCTATCTATCTATCTCTGCCTCTCGCTCTCTCTGTCTGTCTGTCTGTCTGTCTGTCTGTCTGTCTGTCTGTTTGTCGGTCACTCGCTCGGTCGCTCGCTCGGTCGGTCGGTCTGTTATAAGTAACCATCCCAATGAAGCTTAGCTCGACTGGAAATTCGGGCGTTGTCTGACCTTCAAACGATGCTGTTACATGGTGGAACCTGATTGAATCTCGATCGTTACGAACGACTTAGCTCGACCAGAAAATAGGCCAGCATGGCTAGCTTTCTGAAATGGGAAATGGGGTTGTGCCCTGGCGTTGCCTGTCCTTCAAGCGACCCTGAGTAATATTAGTAATATTTCTGTAGAAGTTGAATGTTACGCCCTCTTGTTTTGCCATACTCCTCGTGTCTGAAAGCTGTGCGGTTCTCCCCGCATGTTACACGACACGGTGTTGCTGCAACTTGCTTCGGCAAGTGAACTCCTTCGGCAAAGGCATCTGCAAGCTTCCACTCCCACGGTATAATCAATGATGGGCTTCCACCCGTCCGACCCTACTGTTTAAGTTTCTTTGAAAGCAAGGCTAAACTAAGCCTAACTCCCGTACTCTCGCGATATGCTGAGCTGCCGGCCTCTTCTCCAGCACTAGCCGCGCGACCCACCAAAGTCTGCAGGCGAGGCTGCCTTCGCCCACTCTGCGTCCGAAAAGAAAAATCTCAGGGCTACGAGAGTATCAGAGGTGAAGTGATTGGAGCCTTGGCCGGGCTGAGACAAATCGCCCACAGACCTGGCACACAGGCACACAGCAGAGCGCTCAGCAGGGTTGTACAGACGTTAGCGCTTGCGCGCCGACACGAGACCTACAGGTGCAGATTAGCCAGCCAAGTGACGCGCTTGTCCAGTGCAGCACCTGCCATTGAAAAAGCATTTGGCTCAAATTGCAGCCGATGCTCAGTCCTGGTGCTGTACTTCACAATCTAAAGAGGACTCGAAACCACGCACCTGTCTCTGCAAAGCCGCAAGGCCTCTCTGAGCTGAACCGTCTGAAGACATGAAACTTGCGATTCATCGGAACACAGAAGTTGAACGCCGTCTTGTCGGCGGCTGGCCTGCACTGCCAGATCAACACCGCCAATACACATGCCTGCAGCTGCAAGTTGATTCCAAACTTGTACCAGAATGTCAAAGATCTCATTCTACCCGCTTGGAACAGTTTCCTCACCCTCCCGAGGTCTCTGCCGCACGCCGACCAGGCACTCGGTTTATGTGGCAGCCAGACATGGCTCATTCTCCAACCGACACTTCACCGTGCACAGGCTGCAACTGAGACTTGAATCTGCTTGTAAATTTCTGCAGGTGCTGACAGTCAGTTCAATGCGATCTGGGAAGAATCAACCAAGCAAATGCAAATCTCGGATTTTTGTCTTGGGCCAATGCCCTGGGAAGGCTCAAGAATGTGATTGCAGAAAATGTAAAGCAAACATAGCACGTTCAGGAGCAACTTTCACGTTTTTGCTGCGAAAACCAGTCTTGTGAGTCTCAGACTCTAGCATACTGGGTCTTCTGGCATACAGCAGCATCTGTGCTTGGGAAAATCACTCCATGATACGTCAATGACTCAATTGGACTGTGGGAGCAAGAGCAAAGCAAAATCATCTCCTCTCTGCTCAGTGGCTTACACGCAGTCAATCATCTCCGGATCCACATGTCACTGATGAACCATTGATGCATACTAGCTACAGCATGTACAACATATTAACAAGAAAGCTCCTAAGCGCTCAGGTCGGATGTTGTCAGCCACAGCAAGTTCCAGAGATCCGACCATCAGGTCAAGCCAGGTAAAGAGTCGTGGATTCCTGCGTGCATTGCTTCGAGTACCCTCACATCTGCGGCTTTCGCAGAGGCGCTCTAATGAGTCGATCTACACGACAACTCAGCAAGAATCAAATGCAGATCGATCTCCAACAACCGTGAGCCCGCTCCTCTCCGACGAGCTTCATCACACGATTCAGCCTGCAGCTCATGACTGCGATGTCTACCAGGCAAATGGTTCCTGCAAAAACCTTGTTAGTACCGACACGGCTTCCCATGCAACCGCGCCAACATCAATCAACTCCCGTCTGATGCAGCTTGCGTGATGACTGCTACTACCGAATGATGCAGGAGTTGTAAGGTCTCCACAGCTCGTCTCGTGGCACGGAACAGAACTTGCTCCAAACCTCCGCGGTGTGCGAGGCAACAGTGCATAGGCACGGCAGCACATCGAATGTCGAAACAACTCTCCATTCGCACGAGGCGACTTGCAAGTCCTCAGAAACCGACATCATCGGGTGGATCAGGACCAATCACCAGGCGGCCCAGCCTTGGAATGCGGGGCGCTGGCGGGGCCCAGCCTTGGAAAAACGGTCCTTGAGACCCACACGCCAGGCTGGCAGGACCTTGCAGCCGCGGCCAGGCCTGGAACAACCCGGCCAGCATATCCCGCTTACGATCCTTCAGACAATAAACTCTAAACCCTCGACCGCCTAGACACCTGAGAAATACTTAGCTCATTCTGGAGCCTCCTGATCGGAGCTGTCAACCCACCGAGCAGCAGCAGCACCAGCAAGTGCTGGAAGGGCAGCAGGAGCCAGCAAGGATGGCACATACCTCCAGGGTTGTGCAGGCTCAGTCCTCTCTTGAAAGAGTTTTCTCCCAGCTGGAAATATCCCCATCTTCGTGGTCCCACTGATCGCACGCTTTTCTTAAATTGCGATCCCCCATGATGACCTTGGCAAAGAGGCCAGATAGTCGCGGTAGTCTCGCGTCAGGCCATGTCTCCGTGCCCCATTGCGCAGAAGCCGCCAGTATCTTAAAGACGGCGGCCTGACCTGAGGCATCTTTGTCTGTGACTCGAAGTCGCCGTCCACCAAGGCATAGGCGGTCTCGCGCTGGGACGTTGAATACATCGACACCTTTCAGCAAAGCTCTCATGCAGCCAGGCCTGTCGCCGGCCCTTATGTTGTCGCGTGCAGTAGCAACAATCAGCTCGAGGCGAGTCAAGACAAGACCAAGCAGCATTCGGAGGAGTGCAAACGATAAAGGCATCATTTCCACGTCGTGCAGTGAAACTCTTGTTTTTTGCCGAGATAGCAGTTGTGCAGGTCCTAGTACTAACGTGAAAAACTCGCGGGAAGGGCACCGGCGAAGACCGCAAGCAACATCCTTCGCCTACATGTTGCAAGGCAAACTTACGACATCCATGGATCAAGTTGTCAGTCCCCCTTGTCGGCAGGTTGCAGATGGCATGGCGGGAGAGTAGCACAGGGAAGTCCGGAGTGCTTGCTGAATCCATGAAGGGTCACAGACTGGGTGCACTCACGCTGGCGCTGAAAACAGTTTCGGAAGAGGCCAAACGAACCGGCGCATTCTTTGCCATCAACCTTGCACGAAGTGGTGTCGAGAGCTTGCTGTGGTTGTTTGTCGAGTGGGCTGAGCCACCCGGAACTTCTCGATTTCGCTACTGCGGCACAGCACCCTGCAGGCATGTATTTGCAAATGGGGGTGCAAGCTGAATAAGCCTGTGAGTTGGTACCTTCTCGCATTTCCGGCTTTCCAACAAAAACGGAAACAACATGACAATGAGTCGAAATCATCATGTTCAATAGCCAGCACCATTCTCCATCCCCATGGCTGCATGTCAAGCGTGCAGCATCCTCAACCCTCCAACCTGCTGTTCCAATCCCTTGACAGAACTCACGTCATCCGAATCGGGGCGTGCCACATCTAACAACAAGGTTGCACCTCAATCGGCAAAAGCCGGTAGCCGCGGACAGCTTGTCCCCTCTTCGCAGCTCTGTCCAGTATCTCTTCCAGCGGCACTTGTCGTAGTCTCAACTCATTTACCTCTGCAGCTCCAAGAACCCCTTCACTCACCAGTAATCGGATCCAGCTTTCCCGTCCAAGCTCGAGGCACACTCCGTGCGTGCTAATGTTTTGGGATGGCCGAAGTGTCGCGAACGACGGCTCCAGGAAGGGAACACCCGCAAGGCTAAACCATAATTCCCAGCCATCAGCAACTGCTGGCAGTGTCTGAGTCGGTTGCAGCTGCCTGCGCATCCTTGTGAATTTGTCCATGTTGGAGCCAAAAGCGAAGTTCCATGCGTGTCTCAGTGGCTTGTCTCCGGCCACCATAGCAGAAGATGGCCGAAATGCAGCCAGAAGCGCAGCGCAGGCTCCGAGCCATAGAAGCAAATGTCTCTTCCCGACCGCCATCTCGGAAGTGCATGAAGCAGATTCTTGGAGCGATGAAGGTATGTCGTCTGCGCTGCTGTGTGCTGCTACTTGCAGTAGCAGTACATGTGGCATGTAGTTGACAAGCATAGCGAAAGCTGTCTACTTAGTCTACTTTTAAAATTCGGTGTGATTTCTGTCTAGCCCTTTGGGAATGATTGAAAGCAGAGGGAAGCAGCTTCGGAGTCCGCAGCGTGCAGAACGGTGCCATTGCTGACCTTTTGATCGCTGGAGACCGCAGTTGCAGCTTGCTTTCGCCGTTTTGGCGGCGGCGCTGTGGCCTCGGCCTGCGATGTACAGCTCTGGTCCACGATACGACACTTTTCACAGGACGTCATGAAGCCATGGTCATGTGCTGCCATGCCTTGAGTGCTCGAGCTACTGCCTTGGCAGCCTGCTCGATCGTGACCTGCCGTGAACCGACGTAAAACTTGCATCCCGCTGTTACCATCAGGTACGTGTAAGATGCAACACAAACTCGACACACACGCGCACACACACACACACGCGCGCACGCGCACACACGCGCACACACACACACACCGGCCCTCTCTCCTTTCATCCGACTTGTGGAGTTTACAAAGGGTGACCTGGCCTCTCGATCTCGCTCGCGCCGTTTTGGATTCCTGGCAGCGCGTTTGGCCTGCCAGGCCAAGAGCGCATCGGAACAAAACTTGTGCAGCCAGGGGTGTCTGCGCTTGCTTGTGAGTGGCGGGTGGGCTGCTCTTTTTGGCACTGGTCTCAGCAAACTCGTCGCTCTAGAAGAAGCTGAAAGTCCGTGGAGCAGAAAGCCCTCAGCCCCAAAAATTGCTTAGGCCCTCGACCTTTGTGAGGATCGCGGAGAAAACGGAGGCATTGGGCCACAAGACTATGCACGTCGTTTCACGTGTCAGAAAAGCGTCAAGAAAACAAGGGAGTCAGGAGGAGCGAAGGGGGGAGACAAGCTCTTGGATGTGCCTGTGAGCCCTGTGCTGTGACGTAGGTTTTGGCGCGGTTCACAACGAGCTGAGGGCGTCTTTAGGAAGTCTACTCCTTCTTACAGTAGTGTATCAAAAAAAGAACCACCCAAGATGGAATGTAAGCCACTGAGCAGTCGCCTCTGCTCTCGCCCTTGAGGCGGTCCCGGCATCCCAAGCGGAGTCGGCGATGTTCGCTGCTTCCTCGGCCTCAGTCGGCACCGTGCGCTGCGCCTCTGAACTGCCAGGTGAAAAGCAAACACAGATCGTCTGGCAGAGTGTGAGGGTCGGACACTGTAACTTCTATGACCTACCTGGCATTGCGAGCAGGGTGCTTGACATGCTGCTAGTAGGATATGCTGGGGAGGGACACGGGGAGGAGAGGCAGGACCGCTACACTGGGTTTGGGCGAGCATGACGAGCCGGGTGCTGTATGGGTCGCACATCTTTCGAGCCAGCATGAATCGGCCACGACCGTGCACTCCCCACCGGGCCCACCTCGGTCGGGCTCTGCATGATGGCCATCCACTCGCGTCCTAGGCCACTCAAGACCCTACAGAACACAAAAAAACAGCATCTGAACGGGCTTTCAGCCGTCGGCTCAATGCAGGCCAGCCCTCCGCTTTTGCCTGCCAAGAACACGGAGCTTCCGAGGAATGACTCTTTGAATTGACCCGCCTCGAGTAAGCGATCCCGCTGCGCCAGGGCTGAAGCCAAATCGCTGGTTTGACGGCCTTTGATCTGGCGATTCACCTCTCAGCCGACTCTTTGTACAAAGCAGTCCATCTACGGATCTCGGGCGCAAAGATGTGCAAGAGCATGCGGAGAGACAGGATGTTCATGGGAGGAGCTTGCAGTGGCAAGTTGTCAGCTGATTTAGATGTGGAGGTGGAGGAAGTACAGGTCAGGCGCACCTTTCGACACATGATCTGGATCGAGCAGGCATCCACTGCAATATGTCTCCATGCCTCAAAGTAAGCCGGCACGATAGCGGCGAACGTCAGCGCACGGAGCTCTTGGGTAGCATCCATTTCTGCCTCCTCGCAGGCCTCACGAAGTCCCAAGTCCGCACCGAACTCCTCTGTACTCCCACTCCTACTCCAATCTTTCAGGACTTCTCTCGAACTCTCGGATCCTGGCCTTGGCGAATGCTTCGGAAAAGCTGTCTCTGTTCAGTTCTGCGGCGGAGCTCAGCAGCCCGCGTGTGCGCAGCAGCACTGAGTGGCGCTGCAGAACCTTTCCAGAACTGAAAACTAGAAGACGAATGGCCCGAAAGCATCATTTGCCAAGAGTTTAGCGCTATGTAAAGTCATAGAGTGAAGTACATAAAGTCATAGAGCCAGGTGCACAGTTTGAGTACGTAGAGTCTAGTGCATAGGAGTCATATTGTCACAGAGTCAAGTGCATAGAGTCATCAAGTATAAAGGCCAGTGCATATGGAGTCAAGCACATAGAGTCGTATCGTCGAGTGCATAGATGCTTAGAGTCT